ATCGCATTGTGTTTGTTACTTTCGTTGCAGTTGTATATGTCTTAAGTGTAATTTGGCTTGGCTTCCTATTTATGGACATGCTTTTATTTTGAAGGAGAGTTATCGCAGTTGACAGGACGTTGCTTTGGAAACAACGTGACGGAGATTAACGGAGAAAAGCATTCATTACATTACATTTAGCTGACGCTTTTATCTAAAGCGACTTACAATAAGTGCGTTCGACCAACAAAATACAAACTTGAAGAAAACACAATCATATAAGTACATCAGGTTTCATAGAGCTAAAACATTTCAAGTGCTACTCAACTGGCTCTAGATAAGCCAGTCCTTTAAGTGCTTCGTTAGTAATTCTATCGCTCGAAGTGGAGTCCAAAGAGATGAGTTTTCAGTCTGAAGAAGATGTGTAAGCTATCTGCTGTCCTGATTTCAATGGGGAGCTCATTCCACCATTTTGGAGCCAGGATATCTACATATAAAGACGGAGAAAGTAAACGATAACGTTTATGGTTAAGTGTTAGCACCCCCCGAAGAGGCACAAGCTCTTACGTTGATGTTGGAGTTTTCAATAAATTCAATTTGAAAAAAAAACAGGGAAAAAACAAACAAAAGGAATATCCGATTAACGAAATTGAAACCCGAATAGTACTCCAACGAACGAATATTCGGATATTCGGGTACAGCCCTAGTATGTATAAATAAATACTAGTGACAGTGACGTGAGTAGTTAAGTGGAGATGTGACATGCAACGCGGATGTAAAGAGAATGTTGTGTTCATTATCAGAATAAATGCCAGAAAACACCCCAGATGCTTCGCTGTCGTTTCCTGTATGATAAGAGGCCGCTTACGGTTGTGACCCGTTATCCCCTGGTATACCCTAGTCAGCGCCCCTAGTTACACCAATCAGCGTGCGATTACCGTACAGCCAATCACGATGCGTGACGTCATTGGTAAGCGAAGGACCCCGAACACATATGGTAGGGCGAACACATGGTACTGACACCGGAGCCAGTCCATTTAGTGTTTTGAAAACAAAAGCAACCACACTCTTTTCACAACTTCAGGACAGACTGCGCATGCTCACAACACATGAACTCTCACCCCAATGCTCACAATAGCGATGCAAATATTATATCAGCACCGAGCTCTTATTTTGAAGGAGATGGAAACTAGGGACCGGAAGTGATTTGTGTCACCAGCGGAAGTGATCGTGTTGTGTTTGTGAGGCTAAAAGGCGCCGAGAATCAGATCAGATTTGTCTTTACCTCATATTTACCTGAATATAGATCCAAAGACCCCAAAGACCTCTGTCTTCAGACCTCAGTCAGCTGTTAGCTGTTAGCTGTTAGCTTAGCTCTTATCTAACTCTGTGAAGCTCTGATGCTGGAGCAATACGTTAAGATCCTAAAAAAGGACCAAACGATATCTGTAGAAATGTCCAAAAAGATGTAAGACTGTCAGAAAAATACGTAGAAAAATACCCAGAACGTTTGTGAAAAATTGCTGGAAAATGTCCCAAACATTCTCAGAAAAAAATCTGTAAAACTAAAAATGGATACAAGACTGTGTAAATGTCTCTATCAGGTCTTTACCCCTCAAAGCACTTTGCACTCCACGAGCCATGCAGACCTCATTCATGCAGAGCACCACCACTTGCTATGGGGAAGCTAACACACACACACACTCTCACACACACTCACACACTCTCACACTCACACACACACCCACACACACACTCACACACACACTCACACTCTCACACACACTCTCACACCCTCACACACACTCTCTCACACACTCACACACACACTCTCTCTCACACACACACACACACACACACTCTCAATCACTCAAGTACTAAAACCACCCTGTAGAAATACTCTATTTCAGGTAGAAGTACTGCATGGAGAAGGGTCCTAAAGATGTATGATAAGGAAAATGTACTTAAAGTTTTAGAAGTAAAATATTTGAAAGCATGTAATTAAAGAGAAGCATCAACAGTCCTTTATTCACGCCGCCGTGTGGCCGAACACTGTCATTACAACTGGTCCTGAATCAGTTCCTGGGAGATCAGAGGACCCTCAAGGCTGCTTCAGAGGACCCCATGAGGTTGAGGGTCTCAGATGTTGAGGACCCTCAGATGTTGAGGCAGTAGGCCGGCTCGGGGTCCTCGGGCAGCCTCAGGGCTTCGGGCAGGTCTTCGGGCAGCCTCAGGGCTTCGGGCAGGACCCCCCCCGGCGTGCTCACCATCCTCATGGTGTTCCTGCCGAACAGAGACCTCTCGTACTCCATCAGCTGCCTCCAGAACCCGGCGTTGGGTCGGATGAACGGACGCTGCTCCAGAACCGCCTCGTGAGCCCGTCTAAGGCTCAGACCCTCAAACCTGCACAGACCAGAGCCAGAACTTTAGAGGTCTCCTATCATACAGAATGCACTTTCTGGAGAGAGAGAGAGAGAGAGAGAGAGAGAGAGAGAGAGAGAGAGAGAGAGAGAGAGAGGTGCCAGCAGCAGGGACCGTGTTGTTAGCATCTGGTTAGCTAGCTGCACTAACGGACATACGGAGCTGTTTGTTCCACAACAAGCTGGAGGAGAGCTCTCCTCTCAGACTGAGGGGCTCAGGTGAGCTAAAGGACTCTCTGAGTGTTTAGATAGTTAACTTTAGTCTAAGTTATCTCAGTGGGTCTCAAACGGTTTGGTCACAAATTATTCAAAAGATTATTTCCGCAGCACACCTTCATGTGATCATTATAGTTATTAAAAAAATAAGAGAATAAAGGAAAAACAGTTATGAAATACTATATGGCAGTAAAACAAGAATACAGTTTGAAAGGGGAGTGATTTGTAAAATATCCATAAAGAAAAAGAACATCTGCTTACAGTTGTGTTTCATCTGGGTGTTGAGAGATGTATCCAGATCTCTTCATGTTGCTCTCAAAGTGCACCAGATTGATGCTTTCAACTTCAATATTTAAAAAAGATCTTGCATGCCCCCCGGACCCCCTTAGGGGAGGTGAGGACCTAGAGGAGGTGAGGACCCCCCTAGAGGAGGTGAGGTCC